GGGGCCTCATGTCGATGGACTACATCTAACATATTCCACGAAAAAAAAAGGAAAGGAGATCTCGTCATTTTGTCACAGACAACCCTAGAATTGTCCGGGACGTTCTTCGACGGTGCAACGCCGCCAAGGACGCAGTTTGCGCGGTTATGTAACGGGGTAGGCAAGCCGCACCGTAAAAAAAACACGTGTGACGGTAAACCGTACCGCACCGCAGCGTCAAAAACCGCACCGCACCGCACCGTCGAATTTTGAGATGGAATAAACCGCACCGTGATATGATAAAACAGCACCGAACCGTCCCGTCAAATCGAGATGAAAAAAACCGCACCGCGGTGCGGTTCCACACCGTAAAGATCCCTGCCTTTTTGCCCAATCGCGGCCCCCTTCGACGCACTCCTCTACCTTTTATTCCGGTTCGTCGACGTCTAAATCTAAGGAACTTGGACGACAACGACTTCGTCGACTTCCCGGAGGGCTTGTTTGCGGGCCTGGGTGCCGTCACATACATGTGAGTGAATACATAGGTCCCCGCATCGTCAATTGCTTGGTTTCAGGTTGCGAGCTTCTTCCGGCGGTATTCGACCACACGGTTTCCCACGACAGCTTTCGTAGCTTTTCTGCATGTCTTGTCAATTGGATGCGGTTAAATCAAGGGGACCGCTGACAACGGCGGTATCTGATGCAGAACATGTCCAAGGGGAAAAATCGAAGAAGACATGCTGGCTCAGAGAATCCCGATCTCAGAGACTACGTCGGTAGAGGACATTATGGACATTGTGGAGCATCGCGTGCTCTTTGGCACACCCAGATATGGTGCTGGGGCGAAGGCTGCTGCCGAGTCCATTACTCGTCACAATTCTGGATCGAAACCAACCTGTCGTCGCTTCGAAGCCGCGTACCACAACCCCCGAACTGCGGATCGGAACTCGTGCCGCAGTGAACGATAGGTGGTTTACACTCAGATTTGCGGATTTTGTAACCGTCGACACCACGGCCCCAGCAACAGATCTGAGATTGCTACTGCGCATGCCGTTGCTCTCTGATGAGCACAACTGCTAGACTATAGCAGCAGGGAGCATTTCTAGATCAGGACTGCTGTCTCACAGAATGTTTCGTCCTGCAGCAGCGGAGGTGGCGGTGCTGCTGTAGCTCGTAGATTTTGTAGTCTACCACAGAGATTACACTGCTGTCACCACTCTATCACAGAGGTTGGTCTACACTGCTGTGAGATCGGTAGGCCCGAGCGAGCTTTGTAAAGAGAAATGTAGATGGATGTTCTTATCAACTGACTCCCTGGTCAGGCTTTGATGGGTGCTAGATGAGAGTGAGCACAAGGGGCGAAGGCGCGCTTGTGTCTCATCTCAACAACAAAACATAACAAAAAACAAGCAGCACAAACATAGCAGGTTCCGAGGGTCTCCGGGGTAATGGCCCCAGTACCGGAATTTCGGTGTTCGGAACAATGAAACAACTACAATCTCGCCTGCCAAATATCTCCGCTACAACTCTGTGCTCATGTTCTCTGCTGAGTACAATCTCTTCTTTCTGTATTATGTCTACGGGAGGCTAGTTGCCGCAATCGCACCTATGGTAAACTGTGCCTGACTACGTTGTAACAGTTTTCCTCGACACGACCCCTCGATTAGGCAAGTAGCCGATGTTCCAAACATTCAATTCGCTGCCATTTTTGCGACCCTTCGATTCCCAATCCATATCAAAGAATATCGACCTCCACATGAGTGAATCCAACCTGTGAGCAATACACGCATTCAAAACATTAAACCATACTATGCGATCTTGTGCTTAATATCTTCTAGCACTTGTAGTCCCTGATGAGTTGCATGATGGTGGCGAATCGCTGCTTCGGGAGATGTTTCGTCGCGTTGTCCGCCAACATCGTGGCACTAGGTTGGCGGTGAAGAGTGACCCAGTGCTCCTTCGTGAGTTCCCTGAGGAAGAAGAACCGGAGCGCGATGTGCTTGGTTCTAGAGCTGAACATCGCGTTGCTGGCCACAGTCAATGCTCCGGTGCTGTCGCTGTTGATG